AGTATTTGCATGATTTCATCGAGCACAAAAAAAATGCAACTCTTTCCCCACTTTTCCGAATGTGCTCATTAGGCCACCAGAGGAGGATGGGACCTGCACCAAGGTCATGGCTGGTTTGCAGCGTGCCCTTTCCCAGTGTCCTCTCTGGACGGCAGCGTGCACACTGGAATTTGAAAACAAGTGACTGACTTTGACAATACTGCCTGTAGCAGCAGTACTGGGATGGATAACATGGTTTTCAGTGCAGCTGTTGTAAGCCCAGCCACGGCCTCCAACATGTACTTGGCAGAAGCTGTTAGATACCCTGGATTTATAAGAGTGTAGAACAGTTGCATTTCTGTGCTTAAAATTATGGAACTACTGCTGGCTTTCAGTACAGCTGAGTGGGTTTGAGCAACTGAGGGGTTGACTATCCAGAAGAAAGCGAGTTAAAGGACAGATGATGACTGAGCACCAGGCAGGAGTCAAGGCTAATTAGGAGCACAGATGGCTTTTACTCATGTTTAGCCTGTCTGAAACATTTGGAGACAGCACTGCCAATGACTGCTAAAAGGCAAAGCAAATTCTCACTGCTAAGCAGTATGGCCAGCAGATAAAGCCTTACGTTTGAAAATGAGCTTTAGGTTTGAAAATTGAGTTAATAACAGCTCAGGTGTAAGAGGACTGAGCAGAACATATTGAGCTACTCTTGTTTTCAGGAGGTGCCAGGGAGAGGCAATGCTGGTGCCATCAGAGCAGGGCACTATCAGGCCTGTGGAGGTGAGACTTGCTAGCTACAAAGGTGCCTTTAAGAATTTACTAGAAGCTCAGACCTGGAGTGAGTGACCATCAGCCCATAGCAGCCCACTCTGCAAAAATATTGAATGCATTGCAGAATACACAATCTTGTGCTTTCTTTCAAAACAGAAGCTAAGCCTGCCCTACCTACCCGTTGCTGTTGCTACTCACTATTCAGTTTGAGATGCATTGGCTTTGATGGGAAAGCTATTTGGCTTTGACTTTTCTCTTGACGATAACTTATTTTCCTTAATTTTGGTTGTCATTTTCTCAGCTGGCAGACTATTTCAGATACCCCTTGGCCTATTTGACAGGTTTTTTTTCCCAAGCAGTGCTTCAACTATTTCTGAAATCTGTTAATGGTTTGTTTGTCGCCCTGCAGTCTCTGAGCTCTCTCTAATATGACTCAAGAATTTCAGCCTCTCCACTTGGGTTTGGGGAAAGCATGGGCAGAAGCTCTCTAACTTGGCATGTATGTGCTCTGAGAGTGATCAATGGCATCCTTGCACTGTATCTGCACTAAAATCGGACTTTTCTGGTATGTATGTCCACTTTTCATGCCCTTTGGCAAAAAATCTTTCAGAGAGCTCTGGAATAGCTAAATCAACACTAATCAGCTTGTTGAGACAGGGCCAGTTGGTGTAAAATGTCCCTGGCTGATAAATTTTCTCTTTCCTTCATGTCTACCAGAAGCACATTAAAATCTCCTGTCTATTTCCATGTCAAGTCTGGAAGAGTTTCTAATTAGAGAAGTTAATCTTTGTTTTGTCATATTTTAGCTGACAAGAATTTCCATAGATTCCCTGAGACTGGGAACTCTCTGGCAGCCAAAAATGTAGCCTACTTGAAATGTGGGCCATGCAGCTGTCACTGTTGTTGTGCAAGGTGCTTTATCCCAATGGGAGTCCTTGTAGGATTTGCAGTGAGTCCTCATTTAACATAAGAATTCTCTCTGAATGTGGTTCATGGTCCCAGGGAAGATGATAGGGGGATTTATTTGAGAATGGCTTTAATGAAACTGTGGACAAAACTTGCATAATTGTTAGGTGGAACAGGGGCAACTGACATGCGAAACTTTTTCCCCCCTTTCTCTCAGTTATTGCTCATTATCAGGGAGGTTCCCAGTCTGCAAGTGTAAATCAGTCTTTGTGTTTCATCAAGCGCCTGCCTCATGCTAATTCAGTTTTGCCTTAGGTTGCCGCTGTAGTTTTGTTTGTAAGCTGAACATTTCATGCCCACCCTCCCAGTGCTTGCCTGTGAGGTTTCATGGTGCTCACCCAAGTTCTCTTGAGTTCCAAAGAACTCTCCACCAGAAACTGGCGATGCTTTAAGTGATGTTTCAAAACAAAACGAAAAACCCAAACAAGAACTCACAAACCACAAGAACTCACAAAGAGAAAACCCTACCAAAACAGAAAGCAAAGGCAAAAAAAAAAAAAAAAAAACCAGCAGAAACAAACAAAAAAACCCAAGTCAACACAAGGTTTTGCAACATTCTTACATTACTGGTCCCAATTATAGTAACTTCCATACCAACAAAATAGTAATTCTATATAATAGTATATGCATACTGTTTGTTGCCATGTACTTAATTTTGTGATATATAAGTTCTGCAAGCCATTTACATCTGATACTTCTGAACCTTCTGTCTAGCAAGGTATGACTGCAAAATATTTTTAGTTTATGGTTGGGGGTTTTTAGCTGTATTTTCAGAAAATAAGCACAAGTCAAAGGTCTGTAGAGAGAGTATGATTTATTAAATTCCAGATGATTAGATCTACTATGAAAATTTTACTGTACAAAATAATTTTCTTATCTTTATGTGGTACCAGATTTTGAAAGGAGAAAGTTTTTTTTTTTTTTTTAGCTACTGTTTTATCTAGAAGGAGGAGAGAAGAGACAGTGAAAATCAAAATTTTATTGTAATACAGACATTTTTTTGCTTTAGAGACCACCATCATGCATTTGTGATGCCCAAGGAAAAAGTCTGCTATTTTGACTATTCCACCCATTTCATTCAATGCACATTAATGTATCAGTCCATAATCTGACCTGCTGGGTTGTCAGTCAGTGATGAGGCAGAATAAAGAACAGGTAATCCTTTACTGTTAGTAGAGGAAAGGAGTCAGTTGCTTTTATCTCCCCCTGTAGTGCAACACCTCAAAGAAAGTTTTGGGTCAGCAGTTTGCTGACTTCAGCAGCTTTATCATATAAGGGGTACAGGTTGCTGGGAAAGCTCATTTAGTGACAAGTTAAATGTTAGAATCTCCTGTAAGCTGTGTATGTAATACATTTTACGGTCTAGCTGTGCAGTGCAGAGCTATTCTGCGTGTAACACATGTTAAACATTAACTACTGCTTGGGTACAGAAGGTGGAGTGTGCTCTCTGTGGTTTATATTGGGTGTGTGGCCATGGAAGATAAACATATACTGGCATTTAATGCCATAAAGCAAGCAACCATGAGCAGAGTAGGGAATCAAGTGTATTTTTCCTACAATTAGAATTTTTCATGTTCTACTGTTTCTCTTTTTATTGCTTTTGAGGATTTTCTCCTCCTTCACTTAAGCAAAATGTTTAAATTTTGTTGAGCTTTGATTTGGCTTCTTTTAACGAGTGCTGATTTTATTCCATATGAGAAAATATGTTCTGGATACTTTTTGTTCAGTTTATAACAATTACTGTACAAGTAAAGATGATGACTTCTTAGCAATGTACTGTTTTAAGAAGCCATTGTGTTCTCATTTGCCTTTAATAGAATGTTGAACTTTGGTTAATAATGTCTATTATCCACCTCTTGTCCCCCTCAAAATAATGAAACAGTACCTTACAATGAGAGTTTAAAGTTGGTATTAAGCTTTAATTCCGCTCTTGAAATTCAATACTATCCAATTTCTGTGCTTCTGTTTTGTTAGTTAAAACAATCCTAAAAAATACAACTTAAATAAAATTTGCTACCTATACCTGAGTTTGCTTGACTTTCTTGGAAAAACAGAGGTGTAACTCGTCATCTTGTCTGTTGCTGAAAAAAAACTAACTTCAGACAACCTAGAACCCTGAACAGGAGTTCTGCATGTTGTGATTGATGGTGCCTTCATGCAGAAGACCAAACTAAAGGAAGTGAATGCTTAACTATGAATTTTGCTACATTTTGGGGTAAAGTGGAAATGCCTAATAGATTAGTTTTTAAAAATAAAAATTAGGGGAAAAAAATCCTTAAAGTTGTAAGAGGGACAGAAGTCACAAAAGTGGATCCTGCTCAGTACTTCCCTGTATAAAGTACAGTTGTAGCTTTAGTCTCTTACTCAGATTTATTATCGTCTTATGTATTTTTTTGGCCAAGGGGTGTTTTTGCTCAAGAGCTTGAAAAATTTCTTCCCCAAGTTACTCAACAGGATTTGCATGAAAAATTGGTTTGTTATTTCCTTTTCCTTCTGCCCACCTGTAATCTTCAAAATTTGGTTTTCTAGTGTTGAAGATTGAATATCTAAATTCTTGCCTTAACCTCAAAACAAGTACCCAGGCCAATGCAGCCTAGCTTTAAGATCTGCTAAGTTTTCTATCCTTACTTGAAGGCCATAGTTAGCGTTTTAGTTAACTTTTATTTCCATGCCTGCATGTTTCAGATGGCATGCCAAGTAAGATTTACAGCTTTTTTGGCCCTTGTTTGTTTCTTCATTTAAAGGCTGTAAATATGATGGCAGTTGGCAACATAAATGAAATCTTATCAAATCTCATTAATTTTCTTCACAGTGCTCTTTGAGTATTCAGGCTGTCCAGAATTTATTTTGCAGCTTCAGTGGTGGTGTGGCACTGCATGACTGCAGTTGTTGATAGCCAGCAGATTTCAGGCAGTGTGTTAAGCAAGCTTTTCCTGGAGAATCTGACTTCCTGGGGTACAAAATGATGGCTCTGTGACTTAGGACACTTGTAGGGCATAAGCCTTCCCTTTTTCTTGTACATTTTAATTAGGATGAACTTTGAAAGCTTTCTTTGACAGTGAAATCAGATGCTCTTTGACTGGCTTCAGACAAGAATGGCATGTCACTCTCCCGGTGAAAATACAAATAAATGTCCATGCAATTCTTCAGAATAAATATAATTGCTCTTTTGATATTATTTTCTTTTGTGTATATCTTCTCACACATTTGAACTTGAAAAGAAACACACCCAAACAATCCCACACTGACCAGTTTGAAAGAAAATGTTTTCTTTTCTGTTACAGAAAAATGCAAAGGGACAGGAGTTGTTTGACCAGATTGTGTATCATTTGGACCTTGTAGAAACGGATTACTTTGGCCTGCAATTCATGGATGCTTCCCAAATTACAGTGAGTATAACTTGAGTTGATTTTTATATTTTGCAGTAGTTTGTGTTGCCTATTACAACTGCATTGCTGGTGCAGTCCCACGGAGAGATGTCAGCACTGGGGGCTGAAACAAGTGATGCCATGTTTGGTTCTTGCACATAAAGCTACATCCTCTGAATGAGTCCTGTGGCATCTTATTTGACACGCATGTGACTTGATTGCCCACAAGTTAAAACAACAAGGAATTTTGGTAAAGAAAAGTGTGCTTTATGGTTAGCAGACTCATGGTATTCAAAATGTTTTGCAAGCAAGGATTTCTTGTACATTTTCTGTCTCTGCTGTTCTGTGGACACATTGTGTTGCTTTGTAGATTTCGGTTCATTTGCAAGAGCAAAACATTTTAGCTGAAACTTCTCCTTCTCTTCCTTATATAAGGACCTCCAGTATCTACAGGTGAAATCAATAAATTAAAAAAAAAAAATTGTAGATTTAAATAGATACGTTAATAGGATAGGATTAAAAGACTACAGCATTATGGTTACACTGTATTGACATATCTTGAATCTTTTCCTTTGTCTGTTCAATCTGTGTGAACAGGAAATTTGACAAAAACCTACACTGTGGATAGAAAATGTGCATATTTGGAAAATAAGTGCTCTTTCTTTTAGTGCTCTCTGGTCAGTTTGTAAATGTTTTTTCCATGAAGCAACATGAGATCTCTTCTCTGGGATAATATAATAAAATAATGGGAAAATGTAGCTGCAATATTGACATCCTGTGAAGGATAGGTTCTAAGTTTATCATCCCAGAATTCTCAGCTTTATTCTCTAACGAGCTTAGGTCAAAGGATGGATCAGGGTTTACGCAGCTGCATTATCACCTGTGTTTTACCAGTCACTCAGTCACTGCAAACAAGAAACAAGAAACCTATACAGGTACTGTACTGACTTGATACTGGAAGAAGAGAATCTGTGGGTTTGGGGAGAAGCAGTATTAATCTATTTAAACATTGTCCTGATGTCTAAATTAATTTAGGTTAATATCACTGAAAATGGATATTTTGAATGAAGTGTGTCCATAATGGGTTTGGGGATTTTAGGTGGTTTAGTGTGTGTGCTTCTAATAAGATTTCTAAATACATAAATTGTGTGTACTTTTATGATGGATCTGATTATAAGGACACAGCTAATAGAGCAGAGCCTGCTTATAATGGGAAAACCACATTATATTGTCACTGATTGTCATATCATCCAACTGGGAGTTTGATAGTTAGTTATCTAGCAAGGAGTTCCATAATGTTTTGAAAGAAGGGAAGCAGGAAGGGAGAGTGAAATATCTTTTCTCATCAAGAATAAGGGCAGATCAGCCAAAAGCCAGGCTGAGGAAGCTGGGAAAACTAATTTTCTTGTATGTTTGCAAAACTGAAGAGCTCTCTTGACTGCTAAGAAAGATGCAGATGTGAGTAGCTATGTCTTCTGTATGTAGCTCTCTCGCTGGTGTTGAGGGCAAAATGTGCCTGTACATGGAAGTGTTTTAGCTTTGTTTGTGTGCTGGGGTTTTTTTTATGTTGAGAAGGGAAGTACATGATGCATCTACAGTTGCAAGAGGGATGAGGGCTGGTAACAGCTGCTAGAGGGGTCTGAAAAAAGCCAACTCTAGTTGCAAGGCTTTGGTGGTAGGGTTGTAGTTCCTTGAATTAAGAGGAGTGCTGAGGGTGAAGTTCTTTACTTTCCCTGAAGTGCAAGGCGAAAAACTTGGCTCTTGTGATTTTTGGTCTGGCTCAAGCTGGGCAGAGAGTAGAGCTTAGAGAACTTCAAGGCACAGAAGCACCCTGTGCCTTTTATCTTGCCTAGCACCCTGTGCCGAAAGGTTCCATGCTTTAACAGCCTTCCTTCTTCTGTTTTGAACCTGTGACCTGCTCTTTTCATTTGCACAGCAATTAATGCATATCCTCTGTGGGCTTCTGCTTAGTGCCAGCCCAGACACACAATGGCAAGTGGAGGCCTGCGAGATTAAAATTGTGTAAACCTCTTTGTGGCTCTAAGCCTTTGTTTTTAGTATGTATTGTTAAGGGCTAAACATCTTTAAGCCACCATTACAAGTAAGAAAGCACAAAATAGTCTTTGAATAGTGGAGATTGCTTCTGTGTGCTCCAAGGCCAGTAGCTTTTGAGTGGACTGTGTTTCCTGCAGTCCTGTAACTTTGCCAAAGAGTTGGGACAAGCAGTGTGTTGATAGCTGTGATTTAGAAAACAAAACTGTGATTAGAGTTTATCTGCTTTGAAAGAGAAAAAACTTAATTGTTTGAATAGCTTATTTTTAATACAACCCCCCATAAAGCTGTAAAAAGCAAGATGTCAGCAGTAATGCAAAAAATACTGTAATGCTTATTCAGTGAACTCTGCATTAGTTTGTATCTTGTGCTCTATGAAGATATCCATCAGAAGGATAGAAGGATGTAGATAATCATCTATTAGTTTATTCTAAAACAAATCTTAGTGTACTGTTGTATTTTGAGTTACTTGCTATTAACTCTAAAATTAGAAATACTCTGATGCAAGAAAACAATTTCTTATTCTAGCTTTTACAGAACTTCAAGGGAGATGTAGTGCTTGGGGTGATTGCAGGGTGTCTCTCTGATGTAGGAGGTCTCTGCAGTGGTTCAGAGAAAATGCAAAGCTTATTGGGTTTTTAGTTACTTTTACTACAGTGTGTGTTTTCTAGCAAAGCAAGAGGCCTTGTAAACTTTAGGTGAGTTTGGGATAGCAGTAATAGAATCTTGGGAGACAGTACTATGGAAGCTCAGTTGCCATGAGGAAGTATTTCATTGATCTTTGTAGTAACCGGTTGTGTGTAATGTATTCAATGGTTGGTTTGGGGTTTTGATACTTATTTTTGTCTGTTGGTAGCTGATGTTTATTCATTTTCTGTCTAGGACTGTCCTTTCTTTCTCTTATTTTAAATCATCTTAATAAACAAAAAAAAGACTTTCTGTGGTTAACAACTCCTTGTGAGCTCTGTATTTTATAGGGTCTCTCAAGATTTAGATATCTCCATTTCTACAGTTGCATTCTTTGTTCCAATTTTCTGTCCTGTGATACCCTCCTAGCCCCTCCTGTGTTTTACAAGAATTTATAACTGAAGGATTGCCCATGTTTATTAGCTTGGAAGTTGCTTGCTTCCATCATAATTTTGTTTCTGTTCACAAGAACAATTGCTGAGTAATTAAAAGGGAAGGATTGTTAAGATAAATCTTTAAATTCTCTATTTTTTTTTTTTTTTAGTTTGTGCAAATGAGTTGCTGTCATCCCTGGCAATGGATGGAAGCAAAAGAATTAAAAGACCCCTTTTCTCACATATGTCTCTTTCAGTGATTCTCTGTCTTTTAAGTCCTTTATGTCTGATATATAATATCACAAAGACCCCTTAGCCTAAAGAAGGTCCGTATGGAACAGCCTTTCCCAGCTGTGCTCTGCAACCAGTTGAACCCTTTTGAGGGTGTGTGATTGCACCCAGTGTATCTGGCATGTTGGATTTACACCGTGTGTACAGCAAGACTGATGTGTGAGGACATCCTGCAGATGCTGCCTATGGCTATGGTGGGGACCAGAGTTCCTTGGGAAGATGAGTGCCAGGACCAGCCTGCAGTGGATTGTCCTGGTAAACCATGTTTGCATCTGAACTTCTCAGTATTAGCCAATTTTTAAATTGGGTTTTGATGCAAGAGGTGAGAAGACAATGGAAGGAGGACAAGGAGAAGATTGTGTAGAAGTGAAATAGGCTTTCATGAAAGCAATTGCTCCAAGTAAAAAAAAAAAAAAAAAAAACAGAAGGGGAAAAATATGGCCAGAACTGTGTTGCCCAGAGTGGGCCTGACCAGCAGCAGTGTGTCAGGATGCACTGAGATCCTCACCTCTATGAAAGGCAGCCTTCTGGCCAGGTTTTTCTGAGAGACTCGGGACCGTGTATGACTCACGACAAAGGATTTCAACAGTGCTGGAGGGCAGGTAGGAAGCAAGCTGGACAACTAATAATGTAAGAACCTTTGTTTCCTCTACACATCAAGAACTAGATTCCTGGATGTTTCAGCAGTTATTGGGTCAGGGGACTTGTAGGGCCTTGGTTCATTATGACTGCCTCTGCTGTATCTATCTGAGTTTTCTTTTAAGGGCTCATTGATCAGTTTTTTTCAGCTGCTACTTTTGATATTACTGCCATGACTTCTTAAGATGTGAGGGATGGGGAAAAATGAGCAGTTCAAAACAGTCAATTAGCCTCATAGTGTGATATCTGGGAGCCTTTTTCTTTTGTACACCTTAATACTTTAACAAGTGTTCATGAAGCAGAAGAAAATAGGGACAAGCCTTATTTTCAATATACGGAATGTGGGAAAGAAGGGAGACTGGTAAATATGTTGATAATGCTAAGTGTTTCCTTTTCTGCGACTATTAGAAACATACTATTTTCTCCATGAATAAGCTGTGACATTCCTCTGTGACTCAGTTTCCCCTTCCTGAATCTCTCTCATTCCTCTGGATGATGATGAGCACTTTGGGACTGTGGTTGTTGCAGGATGCATGGATTGTAGCCAAGAGCAAAAAATACCAGTCACAGATGGAGGGTCCCAAAAGCTGTAGAACATCCTGTAGCACTCTATGCTTCTGTTTCTAATAGTGGCGGTGATAGGAATGCCAGTTCAGTAAGTGGACAAAGGCAGTATGGCTGACTCCACAGCGATGCAGAACATCTGATGAATCTGATGTGGAACATTTCCAGCTGTGGCTGTCCAAGTCTCTATTGCGGTTTGTGAACACTTGGTGGAAGACTCTAAAACACTAACAAATTCCAATCTTTAGTCTTCCAGTAGCACCTGCTGTTTTGGGAGGACATTTTTCTGACACAGACTTCAGAAGCAGGTGTAGAGGGCAGGTGGCTGTTGTGCTGTCTGTCAGTGATGCTTCTGCACCTCTCTCCTGAGTGTAAAGAATTCTCTCTGGGACAACAAACAGTCTGTGCTGGTTT